CTCCCTCAGCATTTCGCTTGGGAGATCATCTCTACCTGGTGCTTTTCCTGGTCTCAGACTCCGGATCGCCTTCAGTACTTCCTCAACAGATGGCACCTCAGCCAGCCTCTCACAAGGGGTGGCTTCTTCCAATATTTGAGGCACTGCAGCCTCAGCAGGGTCATCCTCACTTTGTGCCACGATGTTTTCCTGACAGAGGGCTTTCCCCTCCCCCAGGACCTCACAGAAATGCTCAGCAAATCTGCAAACCTGTTCCTGGGGGTCGGAGATTGGATCACCGTTTTTTCCCCTAATGATGGTAATAGGTGTAGCGCTACAGGTTACTTTTTTGATGGAGTTAAATAGAGATTTGTGATCGCGGGCCACTGAGACAGACTCCATCTCCTCAGCAACCCGCGAACACCACCCATCCTTGCAGCGCCTCACGGCTCTCCGAACCTCCGAGCGAAGGCTGCGGTAAGCCTCCTCATTCTCTGACGTGGGATTCTGTAGCCGATGACAGTGGGCCTGTCGCTTTTTCTCAACCATCCTGAACACCTCCTCTGTCAGCCAGGGTCTCTGGGGAGGTTTGGACCGCGTACCCAAAGCAGCCATTGCAGCTGCATGAGTCAGTCCTAAACCTCGCCAATTTACCCTCGACATCAGGAGGAGTGGGGGACTATGCCAACCCCAGCCGCAAGCGATGATGAAATTATCGCTTGCAACATTCATCAGATAACTGAGACCAGGCCACTTTAGGTTGGAATGGGGTCCTGGGTGTACACCCACCACCGGAGTGGAAGAATGGCAGGCGCATCTTACAGAAGACTAGTCGATGGTCAGAGGGCAGATCAGCTCCACGGTAGGTCCTGGTGTCAAGGACATGGACTCGCATCCGCTGGTCCGTCACTATATAGTCCAGCAGATGTTCTTGCTTGGACCCGGCATGCATCCATGGTATTGTGTGGATGCGCCGATGCCGGAACAGCGTGTTGGTAATTACAAGCCCATGGGCTGCACAAAAATCTAGCAGCCTCCTACCGTTGTTATTGAGCTGATCTGGCCCATGCCCTCCAATCACTCCAGACCAGGCGCCAGCATCATGACCAACTCGGGCATTGAAGTCACCCAACAAGATGACTCTATCCTGAGGGGCCACTTTAGCCAACACCTGTGACAGGAGGTCATATAAGGCATCTGACTCATCGGTTTTACCTGCATCCCTTCACGGATGTTCGTCTTCGGTGGGGGCATAAGTAACCACGACCACCACTCCTCGCCTCCGGTTGATGGGAAGGCAAGCCCAAAGTAGCCTGGGGCCTACAGCTTCCCACACCTCACCACCACGCTCCCACGCCCCCTTCATCCTTTTGTTCAAAAGAAGAGCCACACCCTGTTGTTTGGCAGTCTGCTGCCCCGAGTAGAGGACTGTCCACCCCTCATGATGGCAGGAGCTAGAACTGGTCTACCGGACCTCCTGAATGTCACAGAGATCCAGGTGGTACCAGTCCAGCTCCCGACAGAGGAGTGGCAGCCTCTCCTCCGCAGTGAGCGTTCGAACATTTCACGTGGCCACACGAAGTGGCTTTTCTTTGTTTCTGGAGGAGCCCCTAGGGTACAGATTCAATATCCTGGCTCCGCCAATTGGGGTTTGGCCAGGAGACGTCATAGACACCTGTCCCCCCGGGGCCTCCGGCACAAGCTTATTTGTTACATATTTCAGTCGTGGTTTAGTGGTAAATTTTTGAAGGTTGGAAGGGTTACCAGCCCCTCGCACCCGTCCAGAGTCCCCGTTTAGCCACTGTGGTGGTCACAGACGCCATGAGGGGAGGAGCCAATCGGAATTGGCCCTCCCCCCATAGCACTGTCCACGACAGAGTTTCCCGTCCGGCACGTACACACAAACACACACACACACGTACACACAAACACACACGTACACACATACATGTACACACAAACACACACAAACACACACATACACACACGTCAGCATCAGCAGCTTGGGAGCGAGGTCACAGCCGCAGCCATGCAGGCTGCTAATGTATATACGACCGTTCAACAGACGGCAGCCTGTTTGGCTGAATGCGGAACAACTGTTGTTTCTTAACTACAACATTCGTTTGTTTGGATATAATTACTAAGTAACACCTAAAGATTTGATATTTAGCGACTCTTACTGCAGGCTCTGCATGATTAGTTCTAGATTTATGTTTTATTAAAATAGCATTGCATCGTGACATATTTCATAAATCTTGTGTTCGGTAACTTCGGTTATATACCTTTCGGATTCGGTTATCAGCCGAAAGTCAATTTTTTACTTTTGATCTGGTTTCGATTTTGGCCAAAACCAGAAATTCAGTTTCGGTCGGCCTCTACTTGGTATACAGGAGGTCGTGGGTTCGATCCCGACCCTGGCACCTGAATATGTGGAGGTTTTTTGGGTTAGATCGCGTAAATGTATAAATGTGTCGTTAAAACCCGCCACCACCCGACACAGCCAACTAGTAAGGATTGTCAGGTAAACAGAACGTGGCCAATTCATCACGAGTACAGCACTAACCGGTGTGTTGGAGAGCCAAGCCACAACATTTACAATCTGAGTACGACGTTTCACCAGTAATTACAACTACAGCCTGATGAATCTAGTTGGTCGCAAAAGCCTACGTGTTAAACTGAATACGTGGAGTTTGCGTGTTCTCCCCGTGGTCGCGTGGATTTTTCTCCGGGACCTCCGGTGTTTCCCTCCACATTAAGAATCAACATCACGCGTTTAGATTATTTGACTTGTGATTTTCCACGTGATAAGCCACTTTGTTGAGCGATCGTGTGTGGCCAGGTCGCTTCTGAAAAGAAGAGCTACATAGCTCAGTGGGCTTCACCTGTTAAAATAAAAATAGTAAATAGTCGTATTGTTATGAGAATAGGTTTGACCCTTTACGTCAATAAGACAGTGGTGTTAAGATGTTAAACCACCAAACAGAAACCTTTTGCAAGTAATCCTGTCAGCATTCATCACATGCTCCGGTAGCATATGCTGATGCATTGTCTTTAAACTGATTGGTTCACACCAGAGACGGCTTTCTTTAGAGCTTAGTCTCACTAACAGTGTTAGACCAGAGGACGCCAAAAGGCGAACAGCACAAAGACAATGCCACTATCAGGACATTGAGAGCTCGGCGTGAGCAGCGACATCACGTGACCTTCCTTGCCAATATCAAAATATCAGAATAGGTTTTACCCTTTCTGGCAACAAAACAAGTGCGTTAAGACGTTCAAACACTAAAGAAGGAATCGTGTCTGCATCAACCACATATTGTTATCGTGACGTCTCCACGTCGGTGTGGGCTGTGTACACAAGGCCCAGCGGCGATAGGGGGCTCCGCCCACCCTGGAGCCGGGGCCCACACTAACGCGTGCCATCGTGGCCCACACTAACACGTGCCATCGTGGCCCACACTAACACGTGCCATCGTGGCCCACACTAACACGTGCCATCGTGGCCCACACTAACGCGTGCCATCGTGGCCCACACTAACGCGTGCCATCGTGGCCCACACTAACGCGTGCCATCGTGGCCCACACTAACACGTGCCATCGTGGCCCACACTAACACGTGCCATCGTGGCCCACACTAACGCGTGCCATCGTGGCCCACACTAACGCGTGCCATCGTGGCCCACACTAACACGTGCCATCGTGGCCCACACTAACACGTGCCATCGTGGCCCACACTAACACGTGCCATCGTGGCCCACACTAACACGTGCCATCGTGGCCCACACTAACACGTGCCATCGTGGCCCACACTAACACGTGCCATCGTGGCCCACACTAACGCGTGCCATCGTGGCCCACACTAACGCGTACCATCGTGGCCCACACTAACACGTGCCATCGTGGCCCGCACTAACACGTGCCATCGTGGCCCACACTAACGCGTGCCATCGTGGCCCACACTAACGCGTGCCATCGTGGCCCGCACTAACGCGTGCCATCGTGGCCCACACTAACGCGTGCCATCGTGGCCCACACTAACGCGTGCCATCGTGGCCCACACTAACACGTGCCATCGTGGCCCACACTAACGCGTTCCATCGTGGCCCACACTAACGCGTACCATCGTGGCCCACACTAACACGTGCCATCGTGGCCCGCACTAACACGTGCCATCGTGGCCCACACTAACGCGTGCCATCGTGGCCCACACTAACGCGTGCCATCGTGGCCCGCACTAACGCGTGCCATCGTGGCCCACACTAACGCGTGCCATCGTGGCCCACACTAACGCGTGCCATCGTGGCCCACACTAACACGTGCCATCGTGGCCCACACTAACACGTGCCATCGTGGCCCACACTAACACGTGCCATCGTGGCCCACACTAACACATGCAATCGTGGCCCACACTAACACGTGCCATCGTGGCACACACTAACGCGTGCCATCGTGGCCCACACTAACACGTGCCATCGTGGCCCACACTAACGCGTGCCATCGTGGCCCACACTAACGCGTGCCATCGTGGCCCACACTAACACGTGCCATCGTGGCCCACACTAACACGTGCCATCGTGGCCTACACTAACACGTGCCATCGTGGCCCACACTAACGCGTGCCATCGTGGCCCACACTAACGCGTGCCATCGTGGCCCACACTAACACGTGCCATCGTGGCCCACACTAACGCGTGCCATCGTGGCCCACACTAACGCGTGCCATGGTGGCCCAAGCCACTCCAAGTTGAAGGTGCCGATGGCCTCCGTGCGGGGGCGGGGCATCGGAACCTTCAACGTGGAGTGGCGATATCCAGACGGTGGTGAATGTGGTGATGGTGAAGCAAGTGCCATGGTGGACCCAGTAAACGTGCAACATTTTGGGTCAACGTTGGTTGACATGGGCCCGACGTTGGGCCAACGTTTTCCCGACGTTGACGCGCCCAGTGGGATGCACCCCGCGTGTCCTCGTCCCCAGGGCCTGGGCTTCAGCATCGTGGGCGGGCGCGACTCGACGCGCGGCATCATGGGAATCTTCGTGAAGACCGTCTTCCCCGGGGGGGCGGCTGCCATGGATGGCCGGCTGCGCGAGGGTGAGAGTGAGGGTGATGGTGAGGGTGAGGGTGATGGTGAGGGTGATGGTGAGGGTGATGGTGAGGGTGATGGTGAGGGTGATGGTGATGGTGAGGGTGATGGTGATGGTGAGGGTGATGGTGATGGTGAGGGTGATGGTGAGGGTGATGGTGAGGGTGATGGTGATGGTGAGGGTGATGGTGATGGTGAGGGTGATGGTGAGGGTGATGGTGAGGGTGATGGTGATGGTGAGGGTGAGGGTGATGGTGAGGGTGAGAGTGAGGGTGATGGTGATGGTGAGGGTGATGGTGAGGGTGATGGTGATGGTGAGGGTGATGGTGAGGGTGAGGGTGATGGTGAGGGTGATGGTGAGGGTGATGGTGAGGGTGATGGTGATGGTGAGGGTGATGGTGAGGGTGATGGTGAGGGTGAGGGTGATGGTGAGGGTGATGGTGAGGGTGATGGTGATGGTGAGGGTGAGGGTGATGGTGATGGTGAGGGTGATGGTGATGGTGAGGGTGATGGTGAGGGTGATGGTGATGGTGAGGGTGATGGTGAGGGTGAGAGTGAGGGTGATGGTGATGGTGAGGGTGATGGTGATGGTGAGGGTGATGGTGATGGTGAGGGTGATGGTGATGGTGAGGGTGATGGTGAGGGTGATGGTGATGATGAGGATGAGGGTGATGGTGATGGTGAGGGTGATGTGATGGTGAGGGTGATGGTGAGGGTGAGGGTGATGGTGAGGGTGATGGTGATGGTGAGGGTGATGGTGAGGGTGATGGTGATGGTGAGGGTGATGGTGATGGTGAGGGTGATGGTGAGGGTGATGGTGATGGTGAGGGTGAGGGTGATGGTGAGGGTGATGGTGATGGTGAGGGTGATGGTGAGGGTGATGGTGAGGGTGATGGTGATGGTGAAGGTGATGGTGAGGGTGATGGTGAGGGTGATGGTGAGGGTGATGGTGAGGGTGAGAGTGAGGGTGATGGTGATGTTGATGGTGAGGGTGATGGTGATGGTGAGGGTGATGGTGAGGGTGATGGTGAGGGTGAGGGTGATGGTGAGGGTGATGGTGATGGTGAGGGTGATGGTGAGGGTGAGGGTGATGGTGATGGTGAGGGTGATGTGATGGTGAGGGTGATGGTGAGGGTGATGGTGATGGTGAGGGTGATGGTGAGGGTGATGGTGATGGTGAGGGTGAGGGTGATGGTGAGGGTGATGGTGAGGGTGATGGTGAGGGTGATGGTGATGGTGAGGGTGATGGTGAGGGTGATGGTGAGGGTGATGGTGAAGGTGATGGTGATGGTGAGGGTGATGGTGATGGTGAGGGTGATGGTGAGGGTGATGGTGAGGGTGATGGTGATGGTGAGGGTGAGGGTGATGGTGAGGGTGATGGTGAGGGTGATGGTGAGGGTGATGGTGAGGGTGATGGTGAGGGTGATGGTGAGGGTGATGGTGATGATGAGGGCCTGATGCGCGCTTCTCCTTTCAAGTGCAGTAGCAGCAGTGAAGGTGGCCTAGAGTTGCCACCTGTCCTGGTTTCGCCCAGGACATTTGTAAGTCTTGGTGAGTGGGTGGCTGAGTTAGCGGGTGGGTAAATGAGTGAATGGATGAGTGGGTAGGTGGGTAGGTGATTGAGTGGATGATAGGGAGCGGTGGTGCAGTGGTTAGCACACTGCGCTTCGAACCTGGCGACCCAAGTTCTATTTCTCGCTCACGGCTACGACCAGCAACGATTATATAAATCGGCCTTGGCGTCCCCTAGATCGACTCAGCCTCAAATGAGTACTTGGTGCGGTGTGTAAACATCGCGTCTCGGGAGACGAAGGCGGACGGGCGTGGTGCTGGCCTCCCAGCCCCTCGAGTGCCATTCCGGCCTTCACTAGGTGCGACTCGCTCACAGCACTTGCCCCAACAGTCTATGTGGGCTACAAGGGGAGGGGGAACTCTGTCATTGTGCGCGTCTCTGGCAGGCGATGAGCTGCTGGAGGTGAACGGGGAGCCCGTGCGCGGCCTCACCCACGTGGAGGCCATCGCCACCTTCAAGGTGAGCGTGGCGCCTGCATGGTGGGCGAGATCCATTCTCAGGGTCACAATTCGCGAGTTCAATGTGGAGGACATGGTGGTGGTGCTACAGCTTGGACTATAGAAAAAACGGGTCAGAACATACGAGACGGAACTGAACAATACAAATGGTGGGTGCCACGTGGTTGAGGCGCTGCCCCCTTGTCGCTGACCCCTGATCTGACCCCTGACCCTGTGACCCCTAGCGGCTGCCCCGCGGCGTGGTGACCCTGGCTGTGCGTGCTCCTCTCTGCGGCGCCGCCACCTTTGACCTCGCCTCCGACATGACCTTTGGCCTGACCCCGAGCTCCGGTCATGTGACTGGGAAAGCGAGCGACCCCATGGACCAGATCGTCGTGGAGGTCACGCTTATGAAAGGTCAAGGGTCATCACAGAGTTATAGGGTTAAATACACGGGGGGAGGGCGGTGGGGTGGGGGCGAAAGGGCGGTGGAGGGGTCATCACTCCCCTGGCCCCGTCTGACTGAGCTTGCAGGTGAGAGGTGAGTATGCAGGTGAGCTTACAGGTGAGTGTACATGCAAGTGTGCAGGTGAGCATTCAGGTGAGCGTACAGGTAAGCATAGAGTGTGCAGGTGAACAGACAGGTGAGCAGAGAGAGCGAGGACGCTTGCAGGTGTAAAGGTCAGCATGTGGGCACCTACTACACATGAGTGAGCATGTGAACGTGCAGGTGAGCAGCATGCCCCCCCCACCCTCCGCCCACAGAGCGAGGCGTGGGCCTCGGGATCGGCGTGTGCTGTGTCTCAGCTGAGGGGGGCACGGGGGCAGACGACCCCGAGAGGAACCCGGGGGGACCGGGGGGGCCACGAGGGGCAGCAGGGCCCCCCAGGGTGTTCATCCTCTCCCTCGCTCCGGGCTCCGCCGCTCAGCTCAGCGGGCGACTCAGGTGAGGGAGGAGGTCACTGGGGTCACACAGAGGTCGCCGGCTCCCACTCCTCAACCCCTTGCAGGTGGAACAGATCGCGAGTGTGTGAGCGAGGTGAGCTTCAGGGTGAGTGAGTTTCAGGTGAGTGAGTTGCAGGTGAGTGAGTTTCAGGTGAGTGAGCAGGTGTGAATACAAGTGTAAGGGCGCGTGAGTGAGCGGGTAAAGTGAGTGTGCAGGTGAGCGAGCAGGTGAGCGAGCAGGTGAGCAAAGGTGAGAGGTCAGGCGAGATCGTGTTGGTAGGTGTGTATGTGAATGTATGCGTGTGAATGAGTGCGCATGTGGGTGAATGTGTTTACATTGGTGTGGATGTATGTGTGTACGTATGTGTGCACATGTAAGTGTGTGTGTCTTTGGAGTGCATATTTGTATAGCGGGGAGCGGTGGCGCAGCGGTTAGCGCAATGCGCCATGAACCCAACAATCTTGTTTAGATTTCAGCTCACGGCCAACATCAGTGGCGATGACCTGTACCGGTCTTGGGCCTCCCCTAAGTAAACTCAGCCTTAAAGAAGTACCTGTCGCTGTGTATACATGTAAAGAAGTACCTGTCACTGTGTATACATATAAATAAGTACCTGTCGCTGTGTATACATGTAAAGAAGTGTACCTGTTGCTGTGTATACATATAAACAAGTACCTGTCGCTGTGTATACATGTAAATAAGTACCTGTCACTGTGTATACATATAAAGAAGTACCTGTCACTGTGTATACATATAAATAAGTGTACCTGTCGCTGTGTATACAAATAAACAAGTACCTGTCGCTGTGTATACATATAAACAAGTACCTGTCACTGTGTATACATATAAATAAGTACCTGTCACTGTGTATACAAATAAACAAGTACCTGTCACTGTGTATACATATAAATAAGTACCTGTCACTGTGTATACATATAAAGAAATACCTGTCACTGTGTATACATATAAATAAGTACCTGTCACTGTGTATACATATAAATAAGTACCTGTCACTGTGTATACAAATAAACAAGTACCTGTCACTGTGTATACATATAAATAAGTACCTGTCACTGTGTATACAAATAAACAAGTACCTGTCACTGTGTATACATATAAATAAGTACCTGTCACTGTGTATACAAATAAAGAAGTACCTGTCACTGTGTATACATATAAATAAGTACCTGTCACTGTGTATACATATAAAGAAGTACCTGTCACTGTGTATACATATAAATAAGTACCTGTCACTGTGTATACATATAAATAAGTACCTGTCACTGTGTATACAAATAAACAAGTACCTGTCACTGTGTATACATATAAATAAGTACCTGTCACTGTGTATACATATAAATAAGTACCTGTCACTGTGTATACATATAAAGAAGTACCTGTCACTGTGTATACAAATAAACAAGTACCTGTCACTGTGTATGCATATAAATAAGTACCTGTCACTGTGTATACATATAAATAAGTACCTGTCACTGTGTATACATATAAATAAGTACCTGTCGCTGTGTATACATGTAAAGAAGCGTACCTGTCGCTGTGTATACGGTGTGTGTGGTGTGTGTGTGTGTGGTGTGTGTGTGTGCTGTGTATGCGGTGTGTGTGGTGTGTGTGTGTGGGGTGTGTGGTGTGTGTGTGTGGTGTGTGTGGTGTATGTGTGGTGTGTGTGGTGTGTGTGTGGTGTGTGTGGTGTGTGTGGCGTGTGTGTGTGGTGTGTGTGGCGTGTGTGGTGTGTGTGTGTCGTGTGTGGTGTGTGTGGTGTGTGTGGTGTGTATGTGGTGTGTGTGTGGTGTGTGTGTGGTATGTGTGTGGTGTGTGATGTGTGTGTGGTGTGTGTGGCGTGTGTGGTGTGTGTGTCGTGTGTGGTGTGTGTGGTGTGTGTGGTGTGTGTGGTGTGTGTGTGGTGTGTGTGGTATGTGTGTGGTGTGTGTGTGGTGTGTGTGGCGTGTGTGGTGTGTGTGTGTCGTGTGTAGTGTGTATGTGGTGTGTGTGGTGTGTATGTGTGGTGTGTGTGGTGTGTGTGTCGTGTGTGGTGTGTGTGGTGTGTGTGGGGTGTGTATGTAGTGTGTGTGTGGTCTGTGTGTGGTGTGTGTGTGCTGTGTGTGTGCTGTGTGTGTGGTGTGTATGTGGTGTGTGTGTGGTGTGTGTGGTGTGTGTACGTGGTGTGTATGTGGTGTGTGTGGTGTGTGTGGTGTGTGTGTGTGGTGTGTGTGTGGTGTGTCGTGTGTGTGTGGTGTGTGTGTGGTGTGTCGTGTGTGTGTGGTGTGTGTGGTGTATGTGGTGTGTGTGTGGTGTGTGTGGTGTGTGTGTGGTGTGTATGTGGTGTGTGTGGTGTGTATGTGGTGTGTGTGGTGTGTGTGTGGTGTGTGTGTGGTGTGTGTGGTGTGTGTGTGTAGTGTGTGTGTGGTGTGTGTGTTGTGTGTGTGGTGTGTGTGTGGTGTGTATGTGGTGTGTGTGGTGTGTGTGTGGTGTGTATGTAATGTGTGTGTGTGGTGTGTGGTGTATGTGGTGTGTGTGGTGTGTGTGTGGTGTGTGTGTGGTGTGTATGTGGTGTTTGTGGTGTGTGTGTGGTGTGTGTGGTGTGTGTATGTGGTGTGTGTGTGGTGTGTGTAGTGTGTATGTGTGTGGTGTGTGTGGTGTATGTGGTGTGTATGTGGTGTGTGTGGTGTGTGTGTGTGGTGTGTGTGTAGTGTGTGTGGTGTGTGTGGTGTGTGTGTGTGGTGTGTGTGGTGTGTGTGTAGTGTGTGTGTGGTGTGTATGTGGTGTGTGTGGTGTGTGTGTGTGTGGTGTGTGTGTGTGGTGTGTGTGGTGTGTGTGTGTAGTGTGTGTGTGGTGTGTGTGTAGTGTGTGCGTGTGGTGTGTGTGTGTGGTCTGTGTGTGGTGTGTGGTGTGTGTGTGTGGTGTGCGTGTGTAGTGTGTGTGTGGTGTGTGTGTGGTGTGGGGGGGGTGTGTGGTGTGTGTGGTGTGTGTGTGGTGTGTGTGGTGTGTGTGTGTGGTCTGTGTGTGGTGTGTGTGGTGTGTGTGTGGTGTGTGTGTGTGCTGTGTGTGTGGTGTGTGTGTGGTCTGTGTGTGGTCTGTGTGTGGTGTGTGTTTGGTGTGTGTGTGTGTAGTGTGTGTGTGTGGTGTGTGTGGTGTGTGTGTGTGGTGTGTGTAGTGTGTGTGTGTGGTGTGTGTGGTGTGTGTGTGGTGTGTGTGTGTAGTGTGTGTGTGGTGTGTGTGGTGTGTGTGTGGTGTGTGTGTGGTGTGTGTAGTGTGTGTGTGTGGTGTGTGTGTGGTGTGTGTGTGTGTAGTGTGTGTGTGTGGTGTGTGTGTGTGGTGTGTGTGTGGTGTGTGTGTGTAGTGTGTGTGTGGTGTGTGTGGTGTGTGTGTGGTGTGTGTAGTGTGTGTGTGTGGTGTGTGTGTGGTGTGTGTGTGGTCTCTGTGTGGTGTGTGTAGTGTGTGTGTGGTGTGTGTGTGGTGTGTGTGTGTAGTGTGTGTGTGTGGTGTGTGTGTGTGGTGTGTGTGTGGTATGTGTGTGGTGTGTAGAGGCAGCACGGTGGCGAGATGTTAACTACTTTGACTGGAGGTCGTCGGTTCGATCCCGACCCTGATGCCTATATATTTGGAGTTTGCAGCGTCCGTTTTCACAGGGGGTGAGGGGAGAGTGGAGGGGTTCACAGCATGGGTCGCGACACACCAGTCATTTCACTTACGGGAAAATTGTGCTACCCAAGATGTTCTTATTTTAAATAACGTAAGGCCCGATTTAAAAATATTGACCACCACCCGTGGGGAGTTTCTGGGTCCGCGTGCGCGTACGTGGTGTGTACGTGTTGCGTGTGTGTTGCGCGGTGTGGTGCCAGGCGTGGTGACCAGGTGCTGGAGGTGGCCGGCCGCAGTCTGTGCCGTGCCGGCCGTGGTCTGGCCGAGGCGTTTGCGCTGCTGAGCGAGCGAGAGCCAGGGCCCGTGACCCTACTCGTGAGCCGCCACCCCGACCCCACGGTGAGGCCTGTACTAACACACACGCACTGGCACGCACTTGTCATTGTGGTGACCGAGGTCAGTCTTGCAAATGAGACTCGTCCTGGTCTCTCGAGTTCCCACCGTGTTACACAGACTCAACTTGACACGGTACTTGAGACGCGAACCCCCTGCTCACCCATCGGCAGCCGATGATGGCACCTGTGGTATGCATGGTGGTGGTCGCACATCCAAACACGATCCGCGCTCGGTACTGCTCAGCTTTTGAGATCTGGAGGTTCCGAGTACAGAAAATCCGACCGGTAGCGATCTTCACTGGATCCGAAGCAGTGTCGGTGACGCGTCAAGTACTCATTGTGTGTCACTCACCACACCAGCCAATCAGCTGCTACGAAGATAACCCCCCATGCAACATGGCCGCTGTGAAGTCCCCACGCAACATGGCTGCCGCGACGTCATCGCTCCATGTGCATTAGTTGGTTCTGCCGCTGTGATCAGTCGTGTATTTATATTATTCATGTTAATTGTATCCATTATTAACATACTATCGTTACTAATGCAATTTACGTTAATGCCATAATAATTATGTTAATTTATTCAAAGTTGTATGATTCTTTTACTGTGACAATCTACGTAAGAGTGGTCTCGACCTCGCCTGAATCCTTTCCTAACGTACGCAATGTCTTGTGCGTAACTCCCGTGTGGAATCGGAGTTTAGGACAAATCTCAGCGTGAATCGTCGATCTGAACTCGGGCTCCTTGTGAGGCCATCGCGGCTGATTTGGTGCCCTCCACCCGGGTAGCCCCGTGCTTAACACACGCGTGTGACAGTGTGTGTGTTGATACATGTGTAGTGTGTCTGTAGGTCGACTCAGCCTTAAATGAGTAGTGCCGTGTGCTGTGCGTAGTAAGCTTCAGCACGTGGGCGTGCTGCTGGCCACACCAACCCCTCGTGCCGGCAATTGTCGGTGCTCCCGGGGACCTTTGTCTGATGCTCGCTAACAGCACTTGCCCCATCAGCTTGTGTAGGCTACCCGGGGGACCTTTGTCTGATGCTCGCTAGCAACACTTGCCCCATCAGCCTGTGTAGGCTACCCGGGGGACCTGTGTCTGATGCTCGCTAGCAGCACTTGCCCCATCAGCCTGTGTAGGCTACCCGGGGGACCTTTGTCTGATGCTCGCTAACAACAGCACTTGCCCCATCAGCCTGTGTAGGCTACCCGGGGGTCCTTTGTCTGATGCTCGCTAACAACAGCACTTGCCCCATCAGCCTGTGTAGGCTACCCGGGGGACCTTTGTCTGATGCTTGCTAGCAACACTTGCCCCATCAGCCTGTGTAGGCTACCCGGGGGACCTTTGTCTGATGCTCGCTAACAACAGCACTTGCCCCATCAGCCTGTGTAGGCTACCCGGGGGACCTTTGTCTGATGCTCGCTAACAGCACTTGCCCCATCAGCTTGTGTAGGCTACCCGGGGGACCTTTGTCTGATGCTCGCTAGCAGCACTTGCCCCATCAGCCTGTGTAGGCTACCCGGGGGTCCTTTGTCTGATGCTCGCTAGCAGCACTTGCCCCATCAGCCTGTGTAGGCTACCCGGGGGACCTGTGTCTGATGCTCGCTAACAACACTTGCCCCATCAGCCTGTGTAGGCTACCCGGGGGTCCTTTGTCTGATGCTCGCTAGCAGCACTTGCCCCATCAGCCTGTGTAGGCTACCCGGGGGACCTTTGTCTGATGCTCGCTAACAGCACTTGCCCCATCAGCCTGTGTAGGCTACCCGGGGGTCCTTTGTCTGATGCTCGCTAGCAGCACTTGCCCCATCAGCCTGTGTAGGCTACCCGGGGGTCCTTTGTCTGATGCTCGCTAACAACACTTGCCCCATCAGCCTGTGTAGGCTACCCGGGGGTCCTTTGTCTGATGCTCGCTAGCAGCACTTGGCCCATCAGCCTGTGTAGGCTACCCGGGGGACCTTTGTCTGATGCTAACAACACTTGGCCCATCAGCCTGTGTAGGCTACCCGGGGGACCTTTGTCTGATGCTCGCTAGCAGCACTTGCCCCATCAGCCTGTGTAGGCTACCCGGGGGACCTTTGTCTGATGCTAACAACACTTGCCCCATCAGCCTGTGTAGGCTACCCAGGGGACCTGTGTCTGATGCTCGCTAACAGCACTTGCCCCATCAGCCTGTGTAGGCTACCCGGGGGACCTTTGTCTGATGCTCGCTAGCAGCACTTGCCCCATCAGCCTGTGTAGGCTACCCGGGGGACCTTTGTCTGATGCTCGCTAACAGCACTTGCCCCATCAGCCTGTGTAGGCTACCCGGGGGACCTTTGTCTGATGCTCGCTAGCAGCACTTGCCCCATCAGCCTGTGTAGGCTACCCGGGGGATCTTTGTCTGATGCTTGCTAACAGCACTTGCCCTATCAGCCTGTGTAGGCTACCCGGGGGACCTTTGCGTGCGTGTGACGCGTCACACGCAGCGCGGTGTGAATGGGACATTCTGCTCGTGTCCGTTTGTGAGCGGTTGTTGATTCTTGTTGACACCGAAAGGGCTAAGGGGCCGTCCATAGATGACGCATTAATGACGTCACGCACCTGGGGGGGGGGGGGGTCAGACATTTGTGACGATGTGTGACGGGGGGGGGTTTTAGAAATGTGACGTCACATCAAAATGCACAACTTTAAATAAATATAGACAACACGTTCTACTTAATTAAATAGACTTTTTAATAAATGTTTTCTCCTACAACATCAGAGTGCAGCGGCACATTAAATACGCACTACAATGGCAATACAGTGAGGGAAGACATTATTTGATCCCCTGCTGATTTTGTACGTTTGCCCACTGACGAAGAAATGATCAGTCTATAATTTTAATGGTAGGTTTATTTGAACAGTAAGAGACAGAATAACAAAAAAATCCAGAAAAACGCATGTCAAAAAATGTTATAAATGGATTTGCATTTTAATTAGGGAAATAAGTATTTGACCCCTCTGCAAAACATGACTTAGTACTTGGTGGCAAAACCCTTGTTGCCAATCACAGAGATCAGACGTTTCTTGTAGTTGGCCACCAGGTTTGCACACATCTCAGGAGGGATTTTGTCCCACTCCTCTTTGCAGATCTTCTCCAAGTCATTAAGGTTTCGAGGCTGACGTTTGGCAACTCGAACCTTCAGCTCCCTCCACAGATTTTCTATGGGATTAAGGTCTGGAGACTGGCAAGGCCACTCCAGGACCTCAATGTGCTTCTTCTTGAGCCACTCCTTTGTTGCCTTGGCCGTGTGTTTTGGGTCATTGTCATGTTGGAATACCCATCCATGACCCATTTTCAATGCCCTGGCTGAGGGAAGGAGGTTCTCACCCAAGATGTGACGGTACATGGCCCCGTCCATCGTCCCTTTGATGCGGTGAAGTTGTCCTGTCCACTTAGCAGAAAAACACCCCCAAAGCATAATGTTTCCACCTCCATGTTTGACGGTGGGGATGGTGTTCTTGGGGTCATATGCAGCATTCCTCCTCCTCCAAACAGAGCGAGTTGAGTTGATGCCAAAGAGCTCCATTTTGGTCTCATCTGACCACAACACTTTCACCCAGTTGTCCTCTGAATCATTCAGATGTTCATTGGCAAACTTCAGACGGGCATGTATATGTGCTTTCTTGAGCAGGGGGACCTTGCGGGCGCTGCAGGATTTCAGTCCTTCATGGCGTAGTGTGTTACCAATTGTTTTCTTGGTGACTATGGTCCCAGCTGCCTTGAGATCATTGACAAGATCCTCCCGTGTAGTTCTGGCCTGATTCCTCACCGTTCTCATGATCATTGCAACTCCACGAGGTGAGATCTTGCATGGAGCCCCAAGCCGAGGGAGATTGACAGTTCTTTTGTAATTCTTCCATTTGCGAATAATCGCACCAAGTGTTGTCACCTTCTCACCAAGCTGCTTGGCAATGGTCTTGTAGCCCATTCCAGCCTTGTGTAGGTCTACAATCTTGTCCCTGACATCCTTGGAGAGCTCTTTGGTCTTGGCCATGGTGGAGAGTTTGGAATCTGATTGATTGATTGCTTCTGTGGACAGATGTCTTTTATACAGGTAACAAGCTGAGATTAGGAGCACTCCCTTTAAGAGTGTGCCCCTAATCTCAGCTCGTTACCTGTATAAAAAGCACCTGGGAGCCAGAAATCTTTTTTTATTGAGAGGGGGTCAAATACTTATTTCCCTCATTAAAATGCAAATCAATTTATTACATTTTCGACATGCGTTTTTCTGGATTTTCTTGTTGTTATTCTGTCTCTCACTGTTCAAATAAACCTACCATTAAAATTATAGACTGATCATTTCTTTGTTAGTGGGCAAACGTACAAAATCAGCAGGGGATCAAATACCTTTTTCCCTCACTGTAGTTTAAAGCGATTTAAAGAATGTTTTATATATTTTTTTTGGGGGGGGAGAGCTTTGTAACGTCATATTTGAGGGGGGGTCTGACTTTTTGTGACGTTGTGTGACGAAGGGGGGGGGTCAAAAATCGTCCAAAATTGCGTTACGTCATTTATGGACGGCCCCTAACACAATTACACACGCACTGACACACACACACGTGTGTTAACACCTTGACAGAGACACAGTGACATAAGCTGTGACACACACACGTATGTTAACACCTTGACAAAGACACTGTGACACACGCACTTGTGACACACACACACGTGTGTTAACACCTTGACAAAGACACTGTGACACAATCTGTGTGACACACTCTGTGTGACACACACACACTCTGTGTGTTAACACCTTGATAAAGACACTGTGACACACTCTGTGTGACACACTCTGTGTGACATACACACACACTCTGTGTGACACACACACACACTCTGTGTGTTAACACCTTGACAAAGACACTGTGACACACTCTGTGTGACACACTCTGTATGACACACACACTCTGTGTGTTAACACCTTGACAAAGACACTGTGGCACAATCTGTGTGACACACTCTGTGTGACACACACACACTCTCTGTGTGACACACTCTGTGTGACACACACACACACTCTGTGTGATAACACCTTGACAAAGACACTGTGACACACTCTGTGTGACACACTCTGTATGACACACACACACTCTGTGTGTTAACACCTTGACAAAGACACTGTGACACACTCTGTGTGACACACTCTGTGTGACACACACACACACTCTGTGTGTTAACACCTTGACAAAGACACTGTGGCACAATCTGTGTGACACACTCTGTGTGACACACACACACTCTCTGTGTGACACACTCTGTGTGACACACATACACACACTCTGTGTGATAACACCTTGACAAAGACACTGTGACACACTCTGTGTGACACACTCTGTATGACACACACACACTCTGTGTGTTAACACCTTGACAAAGACACTGTGACACACTCTGTGTGACACACTCTGTGTGACACACACACACACTCTGTGTGTTAACACCTTGACAAAGACACTGTGGCACAATCTGTGTGACACACTCTGTGTGACACACACACACACTCTCTGTGTGTTAACACCTTGACAAAGACACTGTGGCACAATCTGTGTGACACACACACACTCTGTGTGACACACACACACTCTGTGTGACACACACACTCTGTGTGACACACTCTGTGTGAAACACTCTGTGTGACACACTCTGTGTGACACACACACGCTCTGTGTGACGCCCTCTTTGTGACGCGCTCTGTGTGACGCGCTATGTGTGACACACACACACGTGTGTGTTAACACCTTGACAAAGACACTGTGGCACAATCTGTGTGACGCGCTCTGTGTGACACACTCTGTGTGACACACACACTCTGTGTGACACACTCTGTGTGAAACACTCTGTGTGACACACTCTGTGTGATAACACCTTGACAAAGACACTGTGACACACTCTGTGTGACACACTCTGTATGACACACACACACTCTGTGTGATAACACCTTGACAAAGACACTGTGACACACTCTGTGTGACACACTCTGTATGACACACACACACACACACTCTGTATGACGCGCTCTGTGTGACACACTGTGTGACACACACACACACTCTGTGACACACACACACACTCTGTATGACACACACACACTCTGTGTGTTAACACCTTGACAAAGACACTGTGGCACACTCTGTGTGACACACACACCCTGTGTGACACACACACTCTGTGTGACACACACACACACTCTGTGTTAACACCTTGACAAAGACACTGTGACACACTCTGTGTGACACAATCTTCGTGACACGCTCACACACTCTGTGTGACACAATCTGTGTGACACACTGTGTGACACACACACACTCTGTGTGACACACACACACTGTGTGACACAGTCTGTGTGAAACACTCTGTGTGACACCCACACTCTGTATGACACACTCTGTGTGAAACACTCTGTGTGACACACGCTGTGTGACGCGCTCTGTGTGACACACTCTGTGTGAGACACTCTGTGTGACACACACTCTGTATGACACACTCTGTGTGAAACACTCTGTGTGACACACTCTGTGTGACGCGCTCTGTGTGACACACTCTGTGTGACACACACACACACTCTGTGTGACACACTCTGTGTGAAACACTCTGTGTGACACACACACACACTCTGTGTGACACACTCTGTGTGAAACACTCTGTGTGACACACAGACGATCTGTGTGACGCGCTCTGTGTGACACACTCTGTGTGACACACACACACTGTGTGACACACTCTGTGTGACGCGCTATGTGTGACACACACACGCTCTGTGTGACGCGCTCTGTGTGACGCGCTATGTGTGACACACACACGTGTGTGTTAACACCTAGACAAAGACACTGTGACCCACTCTGTGTGTTAACACCTTGACAAAGACACTGTGACACACTCTGTGTGACACACTCTGTGTGACACACACACACACTCTGTGTGACGCGCTCTGTGTGACACACTGTGTGACACACACACACACACACACTCTGTGTGACGCGCTCTGTGTGACGCGCTCTGTGTGACGCGCTCTGTGTGACACACACACACTCTGTGTGACACACACACGCTCTGTGTGACACACACACACACTCTGTGTGACACACACACACACACACACTCTGTGTGACGCGCTCTGTGTGACGCGCTCTGTGTGACGCGCTCTGTGTGACACACACACACACGCTCTGTGTGACACACACACACTGTGTGACGCGCTCTGTGTGACACACACACACACGCTCTGTGTGACACACACACACTGTGTGAGTCACACTCTGTGTGACACACACACTCTGTGTGACACACACACACTCTGTGTGACACACACACACTCTGTGTGACACACACATGCTCTGTGTGACGCGCTCTGTGTGACGCGCAGGTGTCGGAGCGAGCCATGCACGAAGCCATCCTTCGTGCCGGTGCCAGTTCTGCGGCGCTGGGGGGTGAGGAGGAGGCGTGGGGGGGGGGGGTGAGGAGGAGGCGTGGGGGGGGGAGGCGTGGGGGGGGTGAGGAGGCGTGGGGTGGGTGAGGAGGATGCGTGGGGGGGGGGGTGAGGAGGCGTGGGGGGGGGGGTGAGGAGGCGTGGGGGGGTGAGGAGGAGGCGTGGGGGGGGGGGTGAGGAGGCGTGGGGGGGGGGGTGAGGAGGCGTGGGGGGGGTGAGGAGGAGGCGTGGGGGGGTGAGGAGGAGGCGTGGGGGCTGAGGAGGCGTGGGGGGGGGGGGTGAGGAGGAGGCGTGGGGGGGTGAGGAGGAGGCGTGGGGTGAGGAGGAGGCGTGGGGGGGCGAGGTGGAGGCGTGGGGGGGTGAGGAGGAGGCGTGGGGGGGAGGAGGCGTGGGGGGGGCAAGGTGGAGGCGTGGGGGGGCGAGGTGGAGGAGGAGGCACAGGGGGAAGGGGTTGAGGAGGAGGGTTGGAGGGGTGAGGAGGAGGGTGAGGGGGAGGCGTCCTCACTAGTTACTCGTTAACCCGACGCCTTTATGGCTCAGCCTGAGACTCGGTTCCCACTGCGTGCGCTGCGCTTTACAAGGGAGGAGGGGGGAGTCTTGTGCAAGTGCGTTCGTGTGTGTGTTCGTGTGTGTGTGTGTTCGTGTGTGTGTTCGTGTGTGTGTGTGTTCGTGTGTGCGTGTGTGTGTTCGTGTGTGTGTTCGTGCGTGCGTGTGCACCTGTGCTACATCGGATACCTCGTCTCCCCTACTGCGTTCCTCCTTTCTAACCCGAACTCTCCTCCTCGTCTCTCTACCTCGTCGTCACCCTCCTCCGCCTTCATTCGTGTTGTTCCCTCTGGACGTTCTCTCTCCGTCTCATCCGCCCCGAATCTTCCTGCCTCCTTCCCCTGCCGTGTCACACACCTCGTCGTCGCCTCCACCTCCTCCTCCACCTCCTCCATCGCCACACATTGTCAAACACTCCCCGCTCTCCTCCTCCTCCTCCTCCATCGCCACACATTGTCAAACACTCCCCGCTCTCCTCCTCCATCGCCACACATTGTCAAACACTCCCCGCTCTCCTCCTCCATCGCCACACATTGTCAAACACTCCCCGCTCTCCTCCTCCATCGCCACACATTGTCAAACACTCCCCGCTCTCCTCCACCTCCTCCACCACCTCTGTTCCTTCTGATCTGACGACAGCCTTCTGACACATCGCCTGCCGTTCTTCCCACTCCTCCCTGCCTTTGGCTCCCCGTGGTCCCTCCTCCTCTCCCTGACTCGTTCACCTTCCCTCCTGCTGCCCCCCCCCCACTCCTCCCTGCCCCCCTCTCCCTGTCTCTCTTGTATCATCCTGTACCTCCCTCCTCCTACCGCTGCCTATCTCACCTCCTCCTCCTCCCGTCCCCGTGTGTCTCTCTCATTCTGTCTCTGGTCTTCCATGGCCTCCCAGTTCCACACTCAGGACCGGATCCCACCCGCGGCTGGCAGGGGGTTCTACACTGCGACCAGGCGAGTGATGGTGTGTGTGTGTGATGGTGTGTGTGTGATAGTGTGTGTGATGGTGTGTGTGATGGTGTGTGTGATGGTGTGTGTGTGATGGTGTGTGTGTGTGATAGTGTGTGTGTGATGGTGTGTGTGTGATGGTGTGTGTGTGATGGTGTGTGTGTGATGGTGTGTGTGTGATGGTGTGTGTGTGTGATGGTGTGTGTGTGATGGTGTGTGTGTGATGGTGTGTGTGTGATTGTGTGTGTGATAGTGTGTGTGATGGTGTGTGTGTGATGGTGTGTGTGTGATAGTGTGTGTGATGGTGTGTGTGTGATGGTGTGTGTGTGTGTGATGCTGTGTGTGATTGTGTGTGATGGTGTGTGTGTGATGGTGTGTTTGTGTGTGTGATGGTGTGTGTGTGATGGTGTGTGTGTGTGATGGTGTGTGTGTGTGTGTGATGGTGTGTGTGTGATGGTGTGTGTGATGGTGTGTGTGTGTGATGGTGTGTGTATGTGATAGTGTGTGTGATGGTGTGTGTAATGGTGTGTGTACGATGGTGCGTATGATGGTGTGTGTGTGTGATGGTGTGTGTGTGTGATGGTGTGTGTGTGATGGTGTGTGTGTGATGGTGTGTGTGATGGTGTGTGTGATTGTGTGTGTGATGGTGTGTGTGATGGTGTGTATGTGTGATGGTGTGTTTGATGGTGTGTGTGTGATGGTGTGTGTGTGATTGTGTGTGTGTGATGGTGTGTGTGTGTGATGGTGTGTGTGTGTGATTGGGTGTGTGTGATGGTGTGTGTGTGATGGTGTGTGTGTGTGATGGTGTGTGTGTGATGGTGTGTGTGTGTGATGGTGTGTGTGTGATGGTGTGTGTGATGGTGTGTGTGATGGTGTGTGTGTGATTGTGTGTGTGATGGTGTGTGATGGTGTGTGTGTGATTGTGTGTGTGTGTGATTGTGTGTGTGTGATGGTGTGGCTGTGTGATGGTGTGTGTTGTCAGCGAGCATCCATTTGACTACAAAGTGCACCTAGCCTGGCACAAACACCTGTGGTGACGTCACCATTAGTTATATGTGAATGGCGGATATTGCTGTTAGGGGTGTGGGCCAGTGATGGTGTTGGCGTGTGTGTGATTGTATACATTTCGGGGTGTGTGTGTGATTGTATCTGTTGGGGTGTGTGTGATTGTATCTGTTGGGGTGTGTGTGATTGTATTTGTCGGGGTGTGTGTGATTGTATCTGTTGGGGTGTGTGTGATTGTATCTGTTGGGGTGTGTGTGATTGTATCTGTTGGGGTGTGTGTGATTGTATCTGTTGGGGTGTGTGTGATTGTATTTGTCGGGGTGTGTGTGATTGTATCTGTTGGGGTGTGTGTGATTGTATCTGTTGGTGTGTGTGTGATTGTATCTGTTGGGGTGTGTGTGATTGTATTTGTTGGGGTGTGTGTGATTGTGTTTTTCGGGGTGTGTGTGATTGTATCTGTTAGGGTGTGTGTGATTGTATCTGTTGGGGTGTGTGTGATTGTATCTGTTGGGGTGTGTGTGATTGTATCTGTTGGGGTGTGTGTGATTGTATCTGTTGAGGTTTGTGTGATTGTATCTGTTGGGGTGTGTGTGTGATTGTATCTGTTGGGGTGTGTGTGATTGTATCTGTTGGAGTGTGTGTGTGTGATTGTATCTGTTGGGGTGTGTGTGATTGTATCTGTTGGGGTGTGTGTGTGTGTGATTGTATCTGTTGGGGTGTGTGTGTGTGATTGTATCTGTTGGTGTGTGTGTGATTGTATCTGTTGGGGTGTGCGTGGTGGTATCTGTTGGGGTGTGTGTGTGATTGTATCTGTTGGGGTGTGTGTGATTGTATATGTTGGAGTGTGTGTGATTGTATCTGTTGGGGTGTGTGATTGTATTTGTCGGGGTGTGTGTGATTGTATCTGTTGGGGTGTGTGTGTGATTGTATCTGTCGGTGTATGTGTGATTGTATCTGTCGGGGTGTGTGTGATTGTATATGTTGATTGTATCTGTTGGGATATGGGTGTGTATGAGATGGTAGACATCGGGGCGAGCGGGGGGGGGGGTATTTCAGGGTGTAAGACGGGGTGTGTGAGATAGGTTGCTTGGTGTGATTGTGTTATGGGGTGTGTGAGATAGAGTGAGAGGGGAGGTTTAGTGGGGAATGAGAGGTGAGGAGTAAGAGGTGAAGACTGAGAAGTCAGAGTGATAGGAGAGGTGATGAGTGAGAGGTGAGTGGTGATGAGTGAGAGGTGAGTGGTGGTGATGAGTGGTGATGAGTGAGAGGTGAGTGATGATGATGAGTGAGAGGTGAGAAGAGTGATGAGGAGTGAGTGGGAGCTATGATTGTGTTCCGCCATGGCCGCTCAGGCGGGGAGCGCGGTCGCCATGGCAACCAGGCACGCTGGGGGGGGGGGCGGAATCAAAGGTCACATGACGACTGTACTGTCACGTGACGACTGTACTGTCACACACCTTGTACTGTCACACGCCCTGTACTGTCACACGCCCTGTACTGTCACCTGTACTGTCACACCCCTGTACTGTCACCTGTACTGTCACACGCCCTGTACTGTCACCTGTACTGTCACACGCCCTGTACTGTCACACGCCCTGTACTGTCACACACCCTGTACTGTCACCTGTACTGTCACACACCCTGTACTGTCACACACCCTGTACTGTCACATGTCCTGTACTGTCACACGCCCTGTACTGTCAGTCACACGCCCTGTACTGTCACACACCCTGTACTGTCACACGCCCTGTACTGTCACACACCCTGTACTGTCACACACCCTGTACTGTCACACGCCCTGTACTGTCAGTCACACGCCCTGTACTGTCAGTCACACGCCCTGTACTGTCACACACCCTGTACTGTCACGCCCTGTACTGTCAGTCACACGCCCTGTACTGTCACACACCCTGTACTGTCACACACCCTGTACTGTCACACACCCTGTACTGTCACACGCCCTGTACTGTCAGTCACACGCCCTGTACTGTCACACACCCTGTACTGTCACATGCCCTGTACTGTCACACGCCCTGTACTGTCACACACCCTGTACTGTCACACACCCTGTACTGTCAGTCACACACCCTGTACTGTCACACACCCTGTACTGTCACATGCCCTGTACTGTCACATGCCCTGTACTGTCACATGCCCTGTACTGTCACACGCCCTGTACTGTCACACGCCCTGTACTGTCACCTGTACTGTCACACGCCCTGTACTGTCACACACCCTGTACTGTCACACACCCTGTACTGTCACATGCCCTGTACTGTCACACACCCTGTACTGTCACATGCCCTGTACTGTCACACACCCTGTACTGCCACACACCCTGTACTGTCACACACCCTGTACTGTCAGTCACACACCCTGTACTGTCACACGCCCTGTACTGTCACACGCCCTGTACTGTCACACACCCTGTACTGTCACCTGTACTGTCACACACCCTGTACTGTCACACACCCTGTACTGTCACACGTCCTGTACTGTCACACGCCCTGTACTGTCAC